ATTGCGCACAGCGGCGTCCCACAGCCAGTCGTCGATTGAAGCGACCAAACTATTATTGTTTTTAGAAATCTATTACATTTTTAAAAATATTTTTTTTTAAAAAAATCTTATTTTAATATTAATAACCCTCACACCTGATATTGTGCCTTTCACTTCGAGTGGGGGTGGGGGGGGGGGAGATGTCTCACTGTAAAGTATAATGACTGGATTCGTCGGCGAATGGGGCATCAGATATGTGAACAGCGATGCCTTTGAGGATAAACATGACCTGGCACAGAACTCGGTCATATCTCAGCTCCCAGAGAGTCCCAGTGACAGGATAACACAGCACGAATTTCTAAGTAGGTCAGACGGTGAGAGCAGATCACAAATATAAGGTTCAGGGAACCAACCTTCTAAGAGCCCACGTTGATCAACACTACATTTCTAACGCATCCTCGCTGACTTTTACACAGCTCGGGAGATTGCTTGTGGATCTCATCCCAGTCAGGGACAAAGGTGGAACGTTCCTACCTGCTCCCTCGGCATGTGACGTGACACGTGAGAAAATACCTGGGGGATTGAGTCCAATCTGTCAATCTCGCTGCTCTAAACCACAGCGCGAATTAAGTCAAGTAAATAAACAATAGTCTCTCTCTCTCTCTCTTTCCCTCTCTGCTGCCCGCTTGAGCTACCTCCTCCTGTTTCTAACCTGTTGTTTTCCCAAAAGCGCTCCGAGGGAAGTTTATTACCAAATGATTCTGAAGCCGGTTAGGCATCCGAAAGGAGTAGAGCGATACTGTATTGACCTGGAGCAGAGACGACTGCTGCATCTGATGAAAGGAGACAAGCTGAGTCCCAAATGACCCTCACCCTCTACTCTGAAATGCTATTTCAGATACAGGTGGATGAAGAGTACAACAGAGCCATGTCCCAGCCTCCTGCCTTCTGTGTTTCATTTTATCTTCACGAATACTCACCATCATCGTGTCAGGAGCTTGTGCAGGTCTACGATTCTCTCTCCCTCTCTCTCGTCTGTCTCTCTGGCTGTGATTCCGAGGAACACGTCTGTGATCAGCCCCAAGGCTGACAATCACTCATCTGTGCTGCCTGCTCATCAACATCGCAAGTCACCCGTGACAGTCTCACAAGAATCACAAGGTGGGTCAGACAAGCTGTCCCGGATCCTACTTTCACCAAGAGGCTATCTTCACTGAGAGCATTTAAGCGGCTCTGCCAAGCGAAGGTCAAGCATATTAACCCAACATATTAATGTCCAAACCTTCTCATTCAGCCGGCGTTTCAAATCAGAGCAGTAAATCAATGGCTGGAATGAGATGCCTACCACTGAAGAAGAAACAACCTTTCTCTTCTTCACAAGGTTTAAAGAAGCTGGAGTTACCCCTGTAAGCCAAAGCCCTAACAGGTAGGGGGTCCTAGCTGGACAAGCAGTGTGCAAGCTTGCCAGACACTGCTCTCAAATGGCAAGCTATACGGTTTTTATCTGGTTAAACTCCAGCAGTTACGATGATAATTGTATTTAGAAGTTATTTCATTGTATTCAGTGCAAGTGATTTAACTGTATTTAGACGTCCAGAGGATGGGTGGGTGGGTAAGCAGGTAGGGGTGTGTGTGTTTGTGTGCGTGTGAGAGAGAGAGCCCCATCATTTTCATGGCAGCTAATGATCCATCGCCATGTTTGGTGTGACATCTCCCGTAACATGATGGAGTGCGAAGGTGAAATGCCTATCTGACAGCTTGTTTCAGTTCCTCCGTAGTCTCATATCACTGTATTGTAACAGTCGGTGTAAGAGGACTTTGCGGACACCCTAGATGTTCAGTACAGGAGCCCTAGCTGCACAGGCCCTGTGCTATACACAGTTATCAATTCCGTTATGACACTGAACAAGTAACCAACTTCATCAACTCATCTATAAACTTAATTTACGCCAAAAAAGATGCAATGAATGCCAATATAGCTCACTTGGAAGCAATCCACGCTTGGCAGAATCCAATGTAGGGATTTGATTTATCATATGTTTGAATCATGAGCAAAGATAGATAGGACAGACAACAGACAAGCGGCCTGAAATCCCAGTTAGTGTTACTAATAGCTGCCTTCGGTGATGTGTGATTATAAATCCCATTCATCCGGCAATGCCAAAGGGCAATACTGACTGGAGTTTCAGCCCAAACATCTTTGTAATGAAGTGCAAGGATTGTAATGGCCTTGGCACAGAGATCTCAACAATGCCACTCTGTAATAATCATAATTATAATAATAATAATCCTTACATTTGCCTTATCACCTCTTCGAGACGTCTCAAAGCACTTCACAGGATACACTGTAAAGTGAATTGACTGTATATTTTTATGGGCGAAACGCGGCAGCCAATTACGCACAACAGTGCCCCACAAACAGTCGTGGATTGAGTGACCAAATAATTTTTAAATTTATTTTGAAGGAATTTTTTTACCCCCGGAAAAGCGATTCCCCCCACCAATCGACTGACAACCATGTTCCTACTTACTGCTTTGTAAATAGAGGCGTGTGGAGTAAAGAAAAGCTTGCCCAACGTTTCGCCCTGCCGCGAATCAAACTCAGGTTCTCTCGCTTGCGAGACGAGTGCTCTAACCACTAAGCTACAGGAATCCATGCTGTAACATTGGCAATCACATTCACACCTAGCACTTACTTGCCAATATTACAGGCACGCTCATATGAGTGTGGAATAGGTGTAATTCTCAACTGCGATGCAGTTAAATACATGGGAACAGATGCCTGACAATAAGCCTGTTAGTTTCATTGAGCTATTCCAGCTGTTCCACTGACAACATGCAGCGCGGTTCACAGAATGACAGTGCATTCAGTTTACCAACAAGCATTTAGAATCCATTCTATCCAATAGCCTGCGGTTTAATGTGTTGTTAAACAGTTTTTCTGAGAGGTTTGTGAAGTGGGTGCAAGTGATGAAGACAGTGAGGTAAGGACTTAAAATTCATCAGTGCTGCATTAATGCTAGAAATTCTGATTATCAAAATACAGTTAGCTGCCAAGTTTCACCCTCAAGCTGTACAATCAATTCACTTTACAGTATAGTCTGTGAAGCGCTTTGAGATGTCTCAATGACGTGATAAAGGGCTATATCAAGTGCAAGGATTATTATTATTACAGGAACGTTTATATAAGTTACGCTAAACAATCCTTGCATTTTTCTCACCCCTGGAGGATATTTGCCCCTCTAGTGCATGCCTTAAACAGTCTATGATCCCCAACCTCACTCAGTCATCCATCGTTTTCTGCGACTTTCATGGACTCTCTCCACAAACAATAATCCTTGCATTCAATATAGCGCCTTATCACGTCTTCGAGATGTCTCAAAATGCTTCGCACAATATACTGTAAAGTGAATTGACTGTGTATTTTGTGGGCAAAGCCCCCAAATGTAAATTAAACCAGCTTTCCAGAGTATCGATCCATCAACCAATCCTCCCTTTTCAAGCATTCATTTGTGCTCAGTCAGAAAACACAAAGAGGGCTGCCTCAGGAAATAGAAATGCCAAACCTTCGCAGTAAAAACATAAGTACATAAGAATTTCTAGACGAAAGAAGACCAAGGTCCATCCAGTTCGCTTTCCACCATCCTGGCAGTCGCTTGCACATGTCGTGTCCCAGACTATATACTGTATCCCAAGATGTTATTGCCTAAAACAAATCTATCTAATTTACTTTTGAAAGAATCAACACTTTCAGCTTGAATTGAACTGACTATATTTTATGGGCGAAATCCTAAAACCCAAAGCCCGTTGCTCAGACAAACTATAGCTTACCCTTGAGAATACCCAGCTCGTCCTCTACTCTGTATTTCCATGTGAGTATTGCTGCCACCCTGACCTGCCCTCCCCATCCCTTGTCCCATCCTCACCTCTCTTTATCCTGTGTCTGCCCAAGCTATACCTGACTCAGAAGTACTGAAACCTGATGCAAAATTGGAAAAAAAACATTCCATTCCACGGCTCTGACATCCTCCACCTTAATAAAAGCAATAACACTGCCGTGGGTTAAAAGCTGATCACTGAGGCATTTCACTTACAGAATGCTCAACTTCATTTCAGTATTGAGCCCAGGTAAACATTGCTGCATATCGCATATTGGTGCAGGAAGCAATCAGCTATTTACTTTGGTTCAATGGAGCATTCTGAAAGTAATGAAAATATCTGACCAGTTTTTAACCATCAGAAGCCATCAGTAATTACTAGAGCAAACAACATATAGCTTCCTTCACCATATCACTGATTAAATGCAATTACTCTTTACTCAGCCTGTATGGCTTTCCCTCTAAAACACACAAGATTATAACTGCTGGGTCCACAGCATTGATAGAGTGCAGGGACCTCTGACAGATCTGATATTGTTAGGATGGGGGAGGGAATAATAATAATAGGTATCATATTTTGTGGGTATTAAATACTGGCTGAGCACCCAAGCTGGGGTGAGGGGAGAGACAAACAAAAGTAGGTAGGTGTGTTTGCTTCTAAAATACACAATAATAAAAATAATACTTGCATTTGATATGGCACCTAATTACATCATTGAGATGTCTCAAAGCGCTTCACAGGATACACTGTAAGCAGCCACGGATTGTCCAATTTTTTTGTATAGTACATCCTGTGAAGTAGATCCTATTAAGCGCTTTGAGGCCTCCTCCTGGCGTGGAAGCCAAGGTATCAAACGTAATAATAATAATAATCCTTGATTTGATATAGCGCCTTATCATGACATCGAGACGTCTCAAAGCGCTTCTCAGACTATACTGTAAAGTGCTCTGGGACACTACCTGGCCTGAGGGGGCACTACATAAATGCAAGTTGTTGTTGTGAAGTGGATTGACTGTATTTTGTGGGCGAAATCCATGATGAATATTATGAAATAGGTAAAGGAATATTATTCCGATGAGAGGATCGTGGAAGAAGCCTGTGTGTGTGTGTGTGTGTTGCGTGTGGTCAGAACATCACATCACCTCGAGCGACACTGGTGAGTCGTGTGTTGAGCGGTGGCAGTGAGGGAGCACCACGGCAGGCACGTTCCAGACTGTTGTGCTGTTTGGCCAGCTGCTCGATGGTCTCCTCTAGGCGGATCCGCTGCTCGCGCTCATACTGCAACGCTCGCTGCCACTTACGACTGTGGGTCTCGGCTAAATCCACAAAGTCCCGGCACGCCTGGGAATGGCAAGAGAAAGAGACGCAGGGATTAGACAGGAATGAGCCAAACAGTTTCCCGTGTCCATTTTCAAACCCATCCACAGACATCCATCCACAAAGCCACGTAAACAATAAAAATCCTTGCGTTTGACACAGCAACTTATCACGTCTTTGAGACGTCTCAAGTATGTTCACGGATTAGCCACGTTTCTTGTTGTGTTAGGGGAGTAATTCCAGTGCTTATAGTGGGAGTTTTAATTCAATAGAAGGCTCAAGAGCAAAAGTAAAAGGTGTTGAATTGAGACCAATTCGAACCTGATTGTACGCAGTGCTCAGTGCTAGATCAAGCTGAGCCCTTGCACTGAGATGTATTGTGAAGGACTGCAGAGAATTTCTCTCTCTCGGTGTCCTGGCCAACAATCCTCCCAATCAATTTGGTCACTCACTCCACAACTACTTGTGGATCGTTGCTGGGCGAAAATTGGTTGCCGCATTCTCCCACAAAACACAGTCAGTGAGCTTTAATAATAATAATAATAATAATCCTTGCATTTGATATAGTGTTTTTCACGTCGGGAGGATGTCCCAAAGCGCTTCACAGAACACACTGTAAAGTGAATTGACTGTATATTTGTGGGCGAACGCGGCAGCCAATTGCGCACAGCAATGTCCCACAAACAGTCGTGGATTGAAAATGACCAATTTATTATTGTTTTTGGTTTTGGAGGGATTATTATTAGGCTCTGTGTGGAGTAAGGAAACTTGCCCAAGGTTTCGCCCTCTGCCTGGAATTGAACTCAGGTCTCTCGGTTGCAAAGCGAGTGCTCTAACCACTGAGCTACAGGACTCCACAGCTTTACTGTAATCTTCATCCTTCTGACGTGAGAGTCGGTAAACCAAATGCAAGGATCATTATTATTGCTTGTCCCGCTTAGAGTCGCTCCATTAGTGTATATAATTCACAAAAACCGAGGCCGGTGTTGAGGAATTCGTGGCTGAAACAGTTAAGCATTAAACTGTTCCTCAAGCACTGGCGGGAGAGGGCCATATAGATTAGAGGCATCAGACTTCAAGAGGAGAGACATCAATCTCATTAGCTGATCTCACACAGGGACCTGTGTAAGAGACATTACGTTACAAATGGCTTCAGTGCCCCTGGGAGAGGGGAGAAATCAGGAAGGATTCTTGACTTCTATCCAGTACAGACATTGTATTGAAGCCACTCACAGCCAAGAAACTACTTCGTGTCAAATTCATTACCCACACTGCAAGACAAAATTGTGTCCAGATAGTGTCTATCACTGTGGAACACCTTCAGCCTCAGGGTGTGCCAACTGTAGACAGGGTACATCTAGGCAGAGACCCAGGATAATACAGTTAGTAACGTCTCAAGAGCTAGAGTAGAGCTCTGTGCTCTTGTAGCTATATTCTATGATTAGAGTGAGAGAATTAAAGATTAAAGAGATTAAAGAGAGAGAGTTGAATCTCTTAGTCTCTAACCTCTCGCGGTTTCAATCTTATTGCATTCCATCAATGGTACAAAGGTCTGTGCAGCCAAAACTAGGTCTAGGCTCCAAGTATACATCTTCCTCCATGGTCAAAATGAGAACTCACCATCTTGTTCTGCTCTCGCTCACTGACCATGCTTTCAGTCATCTTTGCCCTTCCCCACCCCACTCAGCTTCTAACCCCTGTCTGGGTGCCCAGCCAACATTTTCAAGCCCTTTTAGACATGCTCCCAACATGAAAGGCCCTATACATAAATGTAAACTGTATTGATTCTAAATCTATGTGAATTAGCTATTCTCTTCACAGCTGTTTGTTGGGACTCTGCTGTGTACAAATTGGCTGTGTCTATCGCCTACAAAATAGACAGTTATTAGACTTCACAGTAAATCATGTCAGGAGCTGGGAGTTGGCCTGACATGAAAGGTGCAATATCAAACGCAAGGATCCTTCTTTTTATTACTTTTATTATTTCCAAGAACCTCAGGCTGCGAAACTCTGTCCCTCCTTTAGTCTTCCCACAATCTACAGACATTTAGAACCCAGGCTTCACATCACCGTCTCGTTTAATCTTATTCTTTCTCTTCTTGACTTGAATGTTGAAGCCGCCTGTTCTGTGACCTTGGCACTTCATTTGGGGTTTATTCATTTCAAAAATAAACTTTTTGAGTTGGATAAAAATCCAGATTATCTCAACTGGCAAAGAATGCTTTCAAAGCCCTCATCGGGGCCAGGTATCATAGATTCTTGGTAAGGACCGGTTCGATTCCCGGGTGGGGTGAAACCTTAGGCAAGTTTCCTTACTCCACACGCCTGTTTACATAGCAGTAGGTAGGAACCCGGTTGTTAATCGCTTGGCAGATCGCTTTCTGAAGGTAAGAATCCCTCAAAAATAAATAAATAAAGACCGTTTGTGAGACGCTGCTGTGCGCAATTGGCTGCCGCGTTTCACCCACAAAATACACAGTCAATTCACTTTACAGTGTATCTTGTGAAGTGTTTTGAGACGCCTCAACAACGTGATAAGGTGCTATATGCAAGGATTATTATTATTATTATATTAACTTCAGGATAGATAGCAGAATGTTTTTTCTTTACACAGCGGGGCTCCAAACACTGGAACAGGTTGCCAGGAAAGGTGCTAGAGGCCAGGACACTGGGACCCATTTAGAAAGCAGCTTGACGCAGAGGCAGGAGAAGGGTAGGTGGATGTTCTGGAGGGATAAGATCATACGGGCTGAAGGACCTTTTTCATCCAGACCAATCTGGTGATCTGGCAACCATGCCTTCAGCCATTGCTCCCCAAACCTCCAGAACTCCCTGAGTCAATCCCCCCACCTTGCCTCCTCTTTACATCACACCTGAAGATTTTCCTCTTTGTGTGAGTGACCGTGCTTCCAGTTACCTCCTTTTCCTCCCCGGCTCAGCGGCAAACTACACCATTGTTAAGTGTTCAGAGACGCTACCCTGTGTGAAGGGCACTATATAAATGCAAGTTGCTGTTCTCTCCTGCACCCCTGTGTAATACGTCACAAATCCCAGCGCACACTCTAATTCAGTTCCTCGTTGACTTCCTGTCAACCAACACAGTTCCCCCGATCACTGATCAATAGTGCAATATATTTGCAGCTTCTGCAATCAGTTAACACAAGGATGTCATTACGCCATCGTCCCTTTGTAAATATGTCACGTCTCGCGAGTCTTGTTACCACAGCAACCCCCTTACACACACACACACACACACACACCACTCACTCACTCTATCAACTTGTGTTCCAAATGTTAATGCTGTTGACTGGTGTGAACACATTTGCTCGGTGTGAATTGTAAGCAGCTTCACTGGGGAGTTTGCGGCCAGAACTCCGCATAATACAGGGACTCTTGTTTGCTTGTAATCCTTCAGGCTTTTAAAATGACAGACAACCTTGCCGCCAAGGATTTACTAGGGCCGCTTCTCAATAAAACCACACTAAATATAAGAAAAAAAAAGAAACCCGGCAGCAACAATAAATAAGTAACGTAACTAACCATCGCTGGGAGACATTTTCTCAGCAATTGGAGCGTGAATTAATCTTGACCAGTGGCACCTGTGGAATTTGGGACCCACTCTGTGCATTAGATGTTTTGAAGACACAATCTATGACTTTGTTTCTGGCTCCAACGCCTTGCCAATAGCTGGCAAACAGGCGAGGCAGCGAGTAAGAAATCCAGTGCTGTCCTATAGGAGAGGTAGGTGGAGTTGTTTTGGGTGCCAGCAACCATCAGCTCCGACTGCAACACAGTGCAGCCTTGTTGTAATGCGGCAGTTCGGAATCCCTACAAACCCAACCAGTCCTATAAGCGCTTTGAAGACGCTATCCTGCTCGAGGGGCGCTACATAAATGCAAGTTGTTGTCGTTGCTGGGAGTCCTCACGGTGCCTGCGAGGAGAGAGACAAAACACCAGCCCAAAATGACTGACTCCCAGGTCACTCCCAGTGACTTAGTGACCCGGAAGTTGAATATATTTTTTTTAGCGCTCAGGAGACAAAATGGACAACTTCAGGGGCACAAGGTCACCACTGACACCACTTCCTGCGCCCGCTGATTTATGATTTTTTGGAGTAGGTAAATGTCAGGGTCCATAATACAATAATAATCCTTGCATTTAATAGAGCCCCTTATCACGTCTTCGAGACGTCTCAAAGCGCTTCACAGGATATACTGTAAAGTGAAATGACTGTATATTTTGTGGGAAAAATGCGGCAGCCAATTGCGCACAGCAGCGTCCCCACAAACAGCCGTGGATTGAAGTGACCAAATTATGATTTTTTTTTTTGAAGGGATTATTAACCCTGGAAAAAAGATATGCCAATCAACTAAAAACCGGGTTCCTACTTACTGCTTGGTGAACAGAGGCGTGAGTGTGGAGTAAGGAAACTTGCCTAAGGTTTTGCCTCGCAACACTGAATAAGCAAACCCTCTTTCTAATGAGGCAGGTTATACCGGTGGATTCACTGTATTTACATTATTTAGGGTGTCCTGACACCGAAACGGCCAGGGGGAACACATCTCAAACCCTCTGCATTCAGCAATGGGATCTCATTATCTGTACCGTTCTGCTGGTAAACAAAACACACTAATAATGTCTCTGGGGATGGTTTTCAACCCGCGCACGTTATACATTTTAGATAGATTTGCTGCACTAAATTCCCCTCACGTAGGGAACTGGAATGTCGCAATTGCCAATAAACAGCTATTTAGCATACACCCAGTGCTATTTTCAGACACACAATCAGAAGTTAGTTGGAATTATTCAAACCTACCCATCGTCCTAATGAGCAGGATTGAGGCACTTCACATTGCGCTAATACGATACCTGCTAACGATGCCGAATAATGAAAACATAAAACCCCATAACACACATACCCGATTGCACAGAGTGCAAAATGGAAGCAAAGAGCAACACACATTGTTTCACCAAACCCAAACTCTGCAGATTACTCAAGTTATTAAACCCAAAAGCAGCATTTT